ACTGCATTGTAAATTTTCCAAAATTCTCCTAATAATTAAATAAAAAAGGGGGGATAGTGGAAAAATACCATGTAAAGAAAAATATCCTATAACTAAATTACATTTAGATAAAATTTTTTATTTAATGCTAACAGCGAGACACCCAGAAAAAACACATGATGTCAGGGAAAGCCAGGAGGAGATCATTTCAAAGAAAAGATCCCAAGTAAGGTTTTCCCTTTAACCTTTGGTCGAGAATATGTTTGTATATTTTTAGAAGAACAGCTCCCAGACCATGTGGATTCCTGCAACAACAGATCCCAACTGACCAGATTGCTCCAGCCACAAAGACAGGAGAGACAGTTCAAAGATGGAAGTGGTGAAGACGCCTTGTCATGATAGCAGTCAGCCCCTGTGCATTGCTGCAGGAAGAAGGAGCAATGCAGCCAATTCGGGTGCCAGAGCGTTACATCCGTCACCACAATGGACTCAGACAAGCTCCTGTGTCCATTCACTCAAAAGGAATAAGTACTGCCCTAATGACAACAAAGGGAAAGAAGAAGAAAACTGAAAGACGCAAGGGACTGTTGTGCCAATATGGAGTCATCTGAAGAAGTTAACGACTGAAGCACAACAGATTGTGGAAAAGCAAGAAGTTGAAGCTACTTCTTCAACCATGTTCCTGCTCATGCTAGCATCTGTTAGCTGCCAGTCTTCTGCAAAGTCTTGCACAGCAAAGTCCAAGGACTCTGAGTAAATATACACCAGCAGCAAAAGAGACTTTCTTTTCATTTAGTAGCAAAAATGTTAATATGTCCATAGTTCTGATTTCTCATATTGTTGTTTTGCATTGGCATTGTTTTGTTATTATTTAATAGCCAGTTTTGTTCTTAACGTTCAAATTTTGAAAATGATAACATGTATGTAGGTTAGTTTTTGCATTTTCATTGTTTGCAATTGTTTTAATTCTAGAGCCCTACTATTAATGTTTAAAATTTTACTTTTATTATAGTATCTTAAAAAACAAAAACGGGGGAGATGTAGAGGGCCACCTGGGAGGCACCTAGGCATTTTCTTATAATTATTATCAGCTGAACTCAGAGGCAGCCACGCCCTGGGAACATGCTTCCCCAATAAGGCTGGACATGTTAATCAGGCAGGGGCGGAACTAGATATGTAAATCTAGGCCTTTAAAATAAACCTGCTGTGTGGCTCAGCCGCTTTGCCGCCTCTCCATCAGAGAGGATGGCGCCCACCTGGCCCCAGCTTAAAATCTATTTCTGCATCTTGGTCTTTTCTTTAATTTCTTAATCCCCAGCTCCTCCGCTCAAGAACCTGTCGTTTTCCCGTGCGGGTCGCGGGAAACAGAAACAGCCCACCACACATATTAAACATGTTACAGGCAGCAGCAGTTCCAGTTCCCCTTTTCGCCAACTTCGACCACAGGAGTGTAGCGGATGCCAATGGCTGGCCAGGCCTGCAACATCCTGTCCCCAGAAATAAAACCCGCAGAGAGAAAAGATGCCAGACACTGACACCCATGAAAGAGAGCATCGAAACCACCCGATGCAAAACTACACATTGCCAGAATTCCTTAGTTCCCTTCTTTCCACGATTCCCCCTATAAAAGCCCTTTTGCCTACCCTGAGATATTAAGATGGTTATTAAAGCATAAGCCTGCTATCTTCTCAGGATGTCGGTACCGAAATAAATCACTTTCCTTTCATCAGCACCTGGGTCATGTGTTTGGCTTCATGGTGTCAGGCAAAAGAACCTGAGGGTTGTTTGGGCTGGTTTCACTTACATGTTTAATCTAAAATATTTTTTTTAATTTAAAAAAAAATACCAAGCTCATAGATACAGAGAACAGACAGGTGGTTGCCTGAGGCAGGGGATGAGGTTGGGCAAAATGCGTAAAGGGGGTCAAAAGGTACAAACTTCCAGTTATAAATAAGTCATGAGGATGTAATATACAGCATGGTGACTATAGTTAATGTTACTGAATTGTATATTTGAAAGTCGCTACGAGAGTGGATCTTAAAAGTTCCCATCACAAGAAAAAAAAGTTGTAACTGTGGTGACAGATGTTAACTAAATATTGTGGTGATCATTTCACAGTATGTGCAAATATCTAATCATTATGTTGTCAATATGAAACTAATATAATGTTACATGTCAATTATATCACAATTTTTAAAAAGGTGGTTCATTAATTTTAAATGCACTAATAATCTTAGCAACCTCTGATTACGTTAGTTTGCTACAGCACAATAGGCTAAATCACTGCTACCATATTTGCCAAAAGCAAATCATATCAACATTAGTTGTTTATCAAGTACCCTAACTCAATGGTTCTCTACCTTTTTCTAGCAAACCTAGGGGCCATGAGACATATCCATTGGTAACAACTGATCTCCAACTGATTTCAAAAGATTGGTTGAGTCTGCATTTGACAAATACTAGGCTGGGCTGTGAAGATACCAATGTAAGCAAGAACAAATATTGTTCCTGCACTCCTGAAACTTACAGTCTCAAGGAGTAACATGAACAATAAATATAGACACACTCCCAAAATGGCTGGTAGATATGCATTAAGTTTGCCCTTACTGTTCCCTCACTTTGAAACAACCCTAGCAGTGATTCTACCTGTATCCAACCCCACCCCCAGAAAAACCACAGAACCACAGACTTTGACATTGTAAATCACTGTGTTAGGTGCTGGAAGAGAATTAAACTCCACAATACTTTTTTCAAAGCTAATTAATTAATCATTCACATATATGTAAAGCAACCTGGGTAGAGATCAGGAGGACATAAGTAGAGGTCCCAAATTCAGGGCCAGCTACGAAATTTGTTAAGTACTGGAGCAAAATAAAAAAATGTATGGCTCTGTTTAAATGACTAAGAATTTCAAGGCAATGACAACAAAACATTTAAACTAAGCCTAGGGCCTCTGTGACTGAACTGGTCACACACCCATGACCTCTTCCAGGCATCCATACTTATTGGATGTGCAACCATTAGCCAGTCACTTTAACTAATCCCAGGTTCCTTACAGATGCAAAATTAAGGGAAGGAAAAAAAACTTCAGCTTCATCCCAAAACTAACACTTGTGTTTCTTTGTGAAGGAGACAGATCATTTAGAGAGAGTTCTTTTACCATGTTATGTAATCATTAAAATTCTGACTGTGACTCAAAGCTAGTGTTGAAAACCCATACATAGTATTTCACTTTCACACACTTCTTTAATTTTGCCTAAGAGAAAAAAAAAATCTCCAAAGCAGTATTCTAAGTTTATTATTTTCCCATGTATGCCATTTAAATATGAAATACCCAACTGAGGTCTCTGTCTATAGAGTCATTTTCCTTACAGTAAAATGTTTACTTGTACAAATTAAATGTTTTTTTTGTATCCCTAAAAAATTACCTAGTCAGAATCAGCTTCACATATGGTACAGCAACTTGGTCTGCTCTAGTTAAAAAGAGGCAAAATGTACATTTGAAAGAGAGTTAACCCTTTTATTCCTTTAGTTTAGTATTTAGCATAACATAACTGATAACTATCTAAACCAGGGGTTCTTAATCTAGAGTCCATGGAAAGAATTCTGGGACCTAATTAACCTGAATGGAAAAAGTATATATATTTCCTGGCTGGTGTTGCTCATTGGTGAGTGTCAACCCATGAACCAAGAGATCACCAGTTCAATTCCCCAGTCAGGGCACATGCCCAGGTTGCAGGCTCAATCCCCAGTAGGGAGCATGTAGGAGGCAGCCATTCGATGTTTCTCTCTCATCAATTTTCTATCTCTCTATCCCGCTCCCTAACATTCTCTCTAAAATCAATAAAAACATATTTTAAAATATTTTTAATAAAAGAAAAAAACATATCTTTATTTTCATCAAACTCTAAACAAAGTTTAGCATTTTCTTCAATTATGAATATAGGTAACAAACTAACAAACACAGGACAGGTACCATAGTAGTACCTATGACTTGATCACTAATAAATAATATACACATTTTCATATCATATTATAGTTATTGCATCTATTTTAAATGTTGTTTATGCTCAATACCTCAAATGACAATAGTTATTGGACTCACTATTAGATCTTGTGGTTTAATGTAAATGGTATAACACATTAATGTATACAGTATGAATTATAAATGATATAGCAAAAATTTGTTTTTACATTGAAATAACTACATTTCAATATAATTGGCTTCCTTTGTACACCTACCTATATCATTTTATATATTTAAAAAAAAATTCTGAGAAAATGTCTACAGACTTCACCAGAATACCCAAAGGGTCCGTAGCACAAAGAAGGTGAAGAAATCTTGGTCAAAATAAGTTACAGAGCTCATCTATACATATAAAAGCCTAAGCGACCGACCAACTGACTGACTGAACAACCGAACGACCAGTTGGTAGGTCACTATGACATGCACTGACCACCAGGGGGCAGATGCTCAATGCAGGAGCTGCCCCTGGTGGTGAGTGTGCTCCCACAGTCAACCTCCCACAGCCAGCAAACCTCCCGCGATCCCTCCCCCAGCCAACCAGCCCTGATAAGCCCCGATAGGGCCAGCTGGCCAACCTCCCACGGTCCCTCCCCGCAGCCAGCCAACCTCCTGTGGCCCCTCCCCCAGCCAACCTTCCACGGCCCCGATCAGCCCCAATCGCCAGCCAGGCCAAGGGACCCCCCAACCGTGCACAAATTCGTGCACCGGGCCTCTAGTGTGACAATAAAATAGAAACACTTATACTCTTGTAATAGATCTATTACAATAAAAACTGTCTCTAAAATCTAGTTTAGTGGCAATGTCTACATACAACAACATTTTTGTGGTTATTTTAATATGACAACAATTAAACACATCAAAACAAAACAGCTTTTTGTTTTTTTTCTGTTTTGTTTTCTATTTTTTCAGATGTGATCACTGTATGTAGTATGAAAAAGCATAAGCCAGATACATGCTTTTACTACATTATCTAAAATGTTATTTGGATTGGTACCTGAGATGACAGTAGGTTACAATCAATGAACAGTCCTTTTCCAGTTTTAGATCTTTGTATCAATCCAGCCATAATGGCTCCATATGCATACAGGCCAGTGGCAAGATCAGTCATGGCCACTCCTGGACGAACTGGATCTCCGTCCTGATTTAAGAGTTGGGTTGAGAAAAACAGAGAAAATTGAGAATTAAAACCATCATATGATTTCTCAAGTATTCTAAGGTCAAATAGAAGAAAAAATTGTATATGCAAACACACACTAAAGAAATACAACAAACTACTATAGATATTTGTTGGTGGTAAGAATACATTTATATTTACTGTATATTTGCTGAATTTCTTGCCCTATCCCCTACCAACCAAAGCCAAACCAAATAAAATAAAATTTGTAAACATGTCTTAAGTTCTTTTTAATATATTTTACCTTGTTTATATTTTACTAAATTTTAATTCTAAATATTGTTAGTAGAATGACTTATTTATTTTTTTATAGTCTCTTAGAAACCGTTTTAAATGTATTTATCTCTTTTAATACATTAACAAAACTCTTTTGTAAGAACAATCTTTGGTGATTTTCCTGTAAAACTAAGGCATAAGAAAAGGAAAATTTTACCCAAGACTTACAATATACAATTACAGTGGAAGGAAAAAGTATAAAATAAAATATTAAGAGTCTTCCCAATTACTCACTTTTCATATTCATTCATGTGTTTCTCCACGGTCATTATTATCAATGTTATTTTCTTATACTCCATCATTCCCCTATTTATCCATGTATTCAAAAACTCATTAAAAGTAAAGCCTGAACATTACTTAGAAAACTACTGAAATCTGAATAAAGTGTGGAGTTTAGTTAATAATTTTGTACCAGTGTTAATTTCTTAGTTTTGATCATTCATTGTATTATGGTTTTGTAGTGTTAATGTTACAAAATGGTGAAGGATATACAGTATGGGGTAATGATGAAGGTTATGAATTAAGAGTATTGGAATCTTCTGTACCATTTTTGTAACTTTTCTGTAAGTATAAAACTTTTAAAAATAAAAATGTTGAAAAGTAAAACCTGAATTATTTCTTCAAAAATAAAATATGACAATTTTGAGATGGCAGAAATCTTATAGTGTTTTTTATTTTTAAAAAATAATAGCAGCTAGTCCAGTCACCAAGCATTTTTCTCCTTAGCCTTATTACTCAACCTAATTACTTATAAAACAACAAAAATGTTAAAACTTTCTTTTTTAAGTAGTTTCATTTTCAAAATAAATAATTATTCTTAAATGTATCTGTGTCTATAAGTCATACATTTATTTCATACTGAGTCATTCATTATACTAATGTAATCTACAGAAAATATTGTTTTTACCTGGGAGCACATTAATTAATGACCTATTTTCTGAAATATGAATTCTTCCACCATTTGCTAACTTCAATACTTTTGGAAAAGTCCTGGCCTTTCTTAGTTTTTTCTCAATTATTCAATGAGGGTAATGATAAAATCTACCTCATTGGTAGATATGAGAATTAAATAACAAAAGATGCATCAAAGCACTTTATGAATATAAAAGGCTACAAAAATGGGACTTTTTAAAAGATTCTTGGTGTGATGCTAGGAGATCCATAAAATAATTTGGCAATAGTTCAGAGGGGGAGAAAGAAGATGAGAACCTCAATTAAGGACAGAGAAAGGAGGATGGATGGATTCAAGAGATACTTAGAAATTTGAATTCTTAGACTTTGATTATTGGCTGAGTAGAGTAGGGATAAAAAATGAAATTAGCCGAAACCGGTTTGGCTCAGTGGATAGAGCGTCGGCCTGTGGACTGAAGGGTCCCAGGTTCGATTCCGGTCAAGGGCATGTACCTGGGTTGTGGGCACATCCCCAGTAGGAGATGTGCAGGAGGCAGCTGGTCGATGTTTCTCTCTCATCGATGTTTCTAACTCTCTATCTCTCTCCCTTCCTCTCTGTAAAGAATCAATAAAATATATTTAAAAAAAATGAAATTAGCCCTGACTGGTTTGGCTCAGTGGATAGAGCGTCGGCCTGCGGACTCAAGGGTCCCAGGTTCGATTCCGGTCAAGGGCATGTACCTTGATTGCGGGTTCATTCCCAGTGGGGAGTGTGCAGGAGGCAGCTGATAGATGTTTCTCTCTCATCGATGTTTCTAGCTCTCTATCCCTCTCCCTTCCTCTCTGTAAAAAAATCAATAAAATATATTTTTTAAAAAAAAGAACTTTAATAAGATAAAGAGAGAGAGATCCATGCTCTATTCTCTCAAGGGATAGAAAGAAAATCAGTGCACTTGAATATTTTAAGGAAAGGCCACACACATTTTTTCTAAGACTGGTGAAAATAAAACAGAGAAGAAGAATACAAAAGACCTTATACTTAAAGTCGCTAAAATCCTAGCGCCTGCTTTAAAATTAATAGAAAGAAGTAGCCGAAACCGGTTTGGCTCATTGGATAGAGCGTCGGCCTGCGGACTGAAGGGTCCCGGGGTCGATTCCGGTCAAGGGCATGTACCTGGGTTGCGGGCACATCCCCAGTGGGAGATGTGCAGGAGGCAGCTGGTCGATGTTTCTCTCTCATCGATGTTTCTGACTCTCTATCTCTCTCCCTTCCTCTCTGTAAAAAATCAATAAAATATATTTTTAAAAAAATAGAAAGAAGTAGACGGTAAAAAAAAAGAAGAAGACAAAGGCACTCTGCCTATTTATCCTAACACCACAGCAATACTTTCTGAAGAATTAACTGAAGCAAGTAATTCAGGGAAGAAACACCTACTAGAAACAGTTTTTTAAGACAATCTATTTTGTTTGGGAAATGAATGTCTTTTAGTATTTCTACTTACTAGGCTTTCACACCTATTTTTAACTTTAATTACTTTCTTATTATTTTCCCCAAGTGTGCATTTTCTAAGAGTCTGCTCTAACCAAGCACATTTTGGCCACCTATATACCTTTTAGGAACTTCCCTACCTGTCATCAATGAAGAAGGATTACTATGAAATCAAATAACTTTTTCACTGTCAGAATCTAATGCACATAACAATCAGACACAACTACTCCTGAAGATTATTAATAAGTTTTAAAATAAATAACAACTTACATTATTCCAGAGGGGAAAAGAAACCCTCCACTATGTACACATGCCAAGTGAAGGCATTCTGCAGAAATGGACATCTGTGCACCAGTGTAGCCAGCCATTCTACTTCACAGAAATACTATTCCTAAATTGCATGAAGGTGCTTATGTTGAACTTGAAGGACATAATGCATATGCAACATGTGTTTACACTCTATTGCTTCTTGCTAAAAAGAGTGTTATTTTCTATGAGGCCATATTCACATCTAGGGCATATAGATAATTTTAGTAAGTCATTCGCTTTCCTTGGATTCTTTCTAAAATTAACTCAAGTTTAACGGGTTAGTAAAGACTGAAAATCCTTTTGGAACACCTGGTGAAAAATTATGAATAATCTTAAGAAGGATACCTACCTCAGGCCCTGTGATGTGCATCAGACCAGAGACAGCGGAGGCCACAGCATCATAACCAGCCCGCTGAGACAGTGGACCTGTCTGGCCGTACCCTAACACAATGAGAACAGACACATTCAGCACCGTGTAAGGAGAGCAGTAGTACAATGGTGTGTTTAAAACCATTTGTATGCAGAAATCCTGCAACATTCTGTTACTATTACCATCAACACAATCCCTTGAAGAAGGTAGTAAACATTAATTATGGTGTTGTACCCCAGAAGGTAGCAAACCGGTGACGAATGTTTTAGTCAAGTCTAGTCTGAAGAGTGTTTTCAAATCTTTTTATTGTTTAGAACATTTAAAAATCAGAAGTTAGCACAAAAAAATAAAAATTTCTGGCATTGCCAGAAACCAATTCCAGCATGTTCAGCAGGGCTGAATCATCTGGAGTGGCAAGGGCATTTCCCCAAACCTGAATAGGACGCATTAAATTGATTTCTTGGCTGCCAGACAGCTAAAGGGCATCTTAATCTACATGTTATTGCCTCCTACTGGCCAAACACCTGAACAGCCGTAGGCTAATTCCCCCATTCTGACAATGGACTCTGTACCAAACCCTGACCCTTTGAAATGTATATCTCTGCCCCTCCTCAGGACAAGTTGTGTTAATAAAGAGCATGGGGTCCTGGGACGAGGAAACCTTAGAATTTAGAACTTAGATCTTAGTTTCCTTTAAGCCAGCGGTTCTCAACCTGTGGGTCGCGACCCCTTTGGGGGTCGAACGACCCTTTCACAGGGGTCGCCTAAGACCATCGGAAAACACATATATAATTACATATTGTTTTTGTGATTAATCACTATGCTTTAATTATGTTCAATTTGTAACAATGAAATTGGGGGTCACCACAACATGAGGAACTGTACTAAAGGGTCGCGGCACTAGGAAGGTTGAGAACCACTGCTTTAAGCTAAGCTCCTCTGACCCCCAAATGCCTTTCAAAATTATCTTTCGTTTCTGGACTCCTATTTAATCTACGCACAGCCTTCTCCAGATTGCTGAACCCTTCTTAATTCTGGAACAAGAACCCCTGCAGGCATTTTTTGAAAAATCAGAAAATAAAAACTAGGCCCACGTTCTCACATGGCAACAATAAGAGTTAAATAATAGCTCTTCCCTTTTACACAGGGCATAAATTCTCCAATTTGCCAGTCTCCACCACCACTCACTCCTTTATGCCTCAGCCTGTTTCATTCATTTAACTTACCTTCCAGACTCCAACAGGTATTTGCTATTTTTGTTCTATACAAAACAATATACAAAGTGGGGGAAAAAATGTCTCCCTAGGTTCTGTTTGCATATTATCTCAAGTATATAAAAAATATATAAATAATTAAAAACCTGAGCATGAATAAAATAACATCTCCTAACAGTGATTTTTATGTTACAAAGAGACAGAAAAGGTATCACTTTTTTTTTTTTTGCCATCAACTAAAACACAAAAAATGTTTTATCCTGCTCTCCTCAGTCCTGGTGCTTACTGTGGAATAATAAAGGTTATATTAGGAGCTACATGAATCTGTTTCCAAATCCCATGTGTCCATCAGAAAGTGGCCAGATGAAGAACCTTTCATAGCCATCAGCTCTTGGCTGAAATTCCTTGCATATTCTACTTCAGAAAGATCAGGAAAGAAGTGTCTCGAGGTCGTTGCTTGCTTCTCTAGCCTCCTGGAACACGCTCCCTCTTTCATTCCTTACACCCACATAACTCTCTCCCTCGCATCCTCCAAGTCAGCACTCAAACAATTTCTTACCAAAGGGACCTTCCCTAGCGAACTTTAATGAAAGAACACTCTTACTTCTCACTCTTTATCACCCTTACCTGATTATATTTGTCTTGATAACCCTTATCACCACAAGATATATAACATATTTTTTATTGATTTATTTTGTCTCCTCCCTACTAAAATGTATATACTCCAAGGATTTTTTCTATTCAACTCACTGTTGTATGCCCAGCATCTAGAATAGAATCCAATAACACTTATTGCATGAATGAATGAATGACTGCTGGTTATATAAAAGATATTATTTCCAAAACACAAATAATCCATAAAAAGTAAATTAATAAAGAAAACAACAAGGGGTTTTTCTATTTTGTTTTGTTTTGTTTTGTAATTGACCAAAATGGCAACATAGAAGGCCGTTTTCCTTCTCTCCTGGATACACTGAATGTACAGCTACACGTGGAGCTTCACTCTGAGAGAAATCCACAAACGAGTTGAATGATTCCTAAATATTGGACAGGAGAGAATACCCACATCGAAATTGGCAGGAAAGGCTGAGACGTACTCTTGTCATAAGTCCCACTCTAAGCACAGTTATAAACAATTAGGATGGAACCCCGAACTCCCAGCTTCTCCCTGAGGAGCAAAGTGTTTCAACAGCACAGTAAATGCCCCAATTTTTAAATTCCCACCTGAGGGGTGGGCCCCCAAACAAGTAGCTCTGATAGCTAGCAGAGTTCAGGCCCACAGACCTGTAGCAAGCAAAGAAGTTGTTGATGCACAGGAACCCTAACCGCAGCTACCCCTGCAGGGCTCAGAACAGACGGAGCAGGCAAAAAACATCTGCCTCCTGGTCTCCTTCCCTCGAAAGAGTGGACCTGCATACTTTATAAGATGCTACCTGAGGGCCTAGTAATTAATACACTTGTAGAGGCTGACTGTGGTCCCACCTGGAACCAGAAAGAACCAGTGGGCACATCCCCCACTTTCTCCCTCCAGCTAACTCCAACAATAAAACCAACTCACCAGACTCCCTGGAAGGAACTTCTACTAGTATACTTGTCTCATGCCCCAACTTTTGCAGCTACTTCTTCAGGGATGGGCCCCTGGATCACCTGGCTAGACTGCCAGCCAAGCTTTCATGGGTCCCACAGGACTGTAGTAAGAAAACAGGCAGGGTTTTTTAAAGGCTAAGGAGCACCCCCCACAGCTACACGCCCAGGCTCAATGCAGAAGGGTTGCAAGCTTTCACAGTTGTTGCCTGGGGCCCAGCTTCTAATCAGCCTGCATCTAGGTGCTGACAGCAACCATTCCCTTTGGGACATTAACGGGTCTTCTCACACCCTCAACTACTGAGAGGCAACAAAGAGAGTGTCTTGGGCAATTACACAGGCTTCAGAGGCACCCAGGAGCTCAGGCTGGGCTCATCCATAAGATTCATCTCCTACACAAGATCAGTCTGTAAAGACTGAAAGAGGTAGCTGTTTTAGCCAATATGTGAAAACCAACACAGAAAGTCAAGGAAGATGAAGAAACAAGGCAAAAACATACAATAGATACACAGAAGATAAAGAGACAGAAATCTAAACATACAACTACAGAAAATCATCAAATCACAAAGAAAAAAATGGAGAAATTACAAAACAACCAGAAAACAATTAAAATGATAATAGTAAGTCCATAATTACTATCAATAATCACTTTAAATGTAAATGAACGAAATTCTCCCATCAAGACACTGAATATCTGAATGGATAAAACAAACAAGACCCAACTACATGCTTCCTACAAGAAACTCACTTTAGCTTTAAGGACACAGATTGAAAGTGAAGTGATAAAAAATATATATTCCATGCAAATGGCAACCAAAACAAAGCAGGGGTAGCTATACTTATCAGATAAAATATACTTTAAGACAAAGATGGTCATTATATAATAATAAAGGGGTCAATCTAACAAGAAGGCATAACATTTATAACTTTTTAAGCACACAACATAGAAGCATATAAATATATCAAACAAGTATTAACAGACATGCAGGGGAAAATACAGCAATACAATAATAGTAGGGGACTATAATATCCCACTTTCAATAATGGCTAGATAATCCAAGACATAAAATCAATAAGAAAATATTGCTGTCAAACCTCAGAGGGAAGGCAGGAGAGGGTGGGCAGGTGGGAAGAAATGAACCAATGAACTTGTATGCATATAAGCATAACCAATGGACACAGACAATAGGGGGGTGAAGGCCTGGGCTGGGAGAGGTCAATGCGGGGAAAGGGGGACATATGTAATACTTTCAACAATAAAGAATTAATTTTTAAAAAAGAAAAGAAAATACTGGACTTAAACTACACATTTAACCAGATGTATCAATACTTTTTAAACTCTTGCAAAAAATAGATAAGAAAGGACATAAATGATAAAGGATAAAAATCATACCCTGGCCGGTGTGCTAAGTGGTTAGAGCATTGGCCCATGCACTGAAGGGTCTCAAGTTCTATTCCTGGTCAAGGGAATGTACCTGGGCTGCAGGATCAATCCCTAGCCCCAGTTAAGGCACATATTTGAGGCAACCAATCAATGTTTCTCTATTTCTCTCTCTCTTTCCCTCCCTCTCTCCCTCCCTCCTCCCTTCCACTCTCTAAAAAATTCAATGGGAAAAAATGTACTTGGTGCCCTAGCTGGTTTGGCTCAGTGAATAGAGCATCGGCCTGGGGACTGAAATGAGTGTCAAGCTTAAGGAGTGAATTTATATTCCAGGACAGCTAGTTCACAGCTGTAAAGGGCACCCTAGACCATGCTTCCAGCCTTGAAGCCCTGGTATCCCCAGCATAAAACAGGCCTCCAGGAGCAGAGAGAAACTCCACCATAAGGCAGGAACACTGTGTGTGTGTGTGTGTGTGTGTGTGTGTGTGTGTGCTCTTTAAAACCTGTTATCCCAACAGTAAGGCAAGAGACGGAACTAACGGTCAGTCCACTCCAGGTAGGGAAATCAGGTGCTCAGGCTTCTGGCCAGGAGCCCAACCCATCAAATGAGACAAACAGAAGCCCTCACCATCACAACTCTGAATGGACTCTTCCAAACAAAGCCTGCAGGAAAACACACCCAGAAAACACATGGCTTGCTATAAGTAAAAGTGCACTGCAGTGCTTGCCTTACGATGCAAGTTCTAACTTCCAAATATTTCTATTAAAGAGAAAAATAAGCAGTTACTCTTGTGGAGGCAGGGAGTATGGCATGAAGAATAAGAGGATGAGTTTTAGGAATGAAAACATTTGGATTCAAATTATAGCTCTGCCAACGACTATATTTTTGACA